GCAGCTTTAGGTCTAGGGTAAAATTACAGGAAATCAGATAATGCGAATGTTAAACTATTAACGGGAACTATATATATGACAAACAAAACATTGGGATATTTTAAAGGGATTTTGGGTGTATGCTATTCGTCTAAAGTCTCCTCTCTCATGCCCGAGTGCCCCTTACTAATCCTCCAATTCATGGGAGATGCTACAATAAACTACAGTTAAGATAAATAATTATTTTCGCCCAGAGCATACCTTAGAGTATCATCGAGACGGTCCATAACCTTCCCGGATTGGTAATACTGTCAATACCAAAAGAGGTGTTCCGATAGCTTTTTGTTAATACAATATACGTCTTTTCTCTCATGTGTGTTTTCGTTGTTTCGTGTGACGCATCAGTGGGTCAGTAGATCTTTCGGATATCTTCAGCTTTTACTCGAAAATAAAATAACGACCGCGTAAAAACATTGAGCACAATTGAATATTAAATATCGTTTTCGATAAATCAATACTAAATACATCTGTACTTTTTGAATAGCATCGATCTTTTGAACACATCGACTTTGATGTGGCATCTCTTGTTTGAGAAAGCCGTGTCGGCCGCTGAGGCGGGACCAGATCGTACGTTGTGTGTTTAACGCCGGGCGGGCGCAACTGTGGCAGCGGTGACGCTCGCGTCTTCGACGACTGGCGTCGCGACGCCTGCCTGCCGCCGTCGGGCGCGCCGCGCCGCCGCATCGCGTCACGCTCGCCCCCCCCCCTCTTTCGACGATGAGCGCGTTGTCGAGTTCGTGCGGCTAATCGACGCGTCGCGCACGAGTCGGTCGGCGCAGCGACGGGCCTCAAGGGAGGCGCGGGCAAGTACAACGCGGTCCGCGACAAGATTTTAAAAGATCTTATTCAAAAGTAAGGTTTGGATGATCCGAACTCCAGTAGTGTTTTTTACGAAATACAAAAAATAAGTAAAGAGAAATAGTTATAAAAAAAAGCGTGGTGTAGAAAGAGGATTACCCAGAGAGACATTGAGGCTTAATCAGACTACGAACGTAGTAGTTTGTATTAGTTAGTATTACTATAGTATTGTTAATAATATACTGTTAGTAGTGTTAATAACTATACTTTACAAACAAGAAGTTAATAAAGAGTTATCTAGTTATTCATTTCGATTCACATGCCATTTTTCTCTCACCAATTTTGACCTACATCTTTCAAAATACTTTTATGTCCACACCATTCGGATTCGTGGAAACGTTTGGCCAAAGGATTAGCCAACATTTTGCTTTCATCTGAAAAATAAAAATAAATTACCTTGTGCTCTACAAGTCGCAACAGAGTTTCAAGCCATGTGTGAAATTTTCAACTTAAAAGATTCCAATTATCATTTTTTACTCTTCAATGTTAATTGATATACAATTCGCATAATTCTAAATCACAATACTTTCCTTTACACCACATTATCTCCTACTGAGTAATTTTTTACCGTGTTTCTCAAAAGTTATTGTTTGGTTTTCACATAAAAAGTTTATCTCAAATGCCATGTAAATTTGATTACTCTTAAAGTACAATTAATTCCAATTGTCGTAGCATTAATTTCCAGAAGACTCGCCCCGTTTCCTTGTGCCCCATCAATTGTAAGGGCTTCTGTTGCTCCCTACCGTAAGTTCTCAGTCACTACATCTAGCTTAACGATCTTGAACAGTTCCCTTGACAGGGTATCCTGCTCTCTATAGAGTTATAAACTCGTTCCGAAAAACAAGCCATAGCCAATCTTGATTTTTAATGAGAAATATATAAATTTGTTGCACATCTGCTTTAAGAAATTCGTGTGTGAAGTGAATTTGTCGATTTGTTAGTTAACACAAATGATATTGATTTTCCATTAATACCACTGAATCCACAATTAACTCAAGAAATGCAACATGCATGTAGGTACAAATTTGCACACATTCATACGCAACCCTCTTCATAATGTAGCTGTATTGTTCTCGCACACAACAGGTGCGTTCACACACCTGGAACTGTGAGAACAGACAACTCCGTAGGTCGAAACACCTTGAAAACACTACAAACCGAAGTGTCACTCGTTAGCTTGTCAGCCCCTTCCCGGAGGCAAGGGCACGTTTGGGGGCGGCGCGAGCCGATGTTTATCAACACAGGGCATCGCGGCGCGGCGCGGCGGGCGCTCGGAAGAGGTGACTTCCTGGGCGGCCTCCCGCGTCGCACAGTGGGACGAAATACGCGTGTAACGTCCCTCATTTGTAATTTTGAATCAAGAATTTCAACGAAAAAAAAATGAAAACAAGTATAACTGCCCTAATAAAATATTACAGAATGAATAGAGTTTTCATGTATCTGGTAACTTTCATCGCTTATTTTTATGAAAAGTGTCGTGTACGTGTCGCTTTTTTAAATATTCCACATTAATTTATGGAATACAGTTCTTTTACAAGGTTTCACTTCCAATTGCGGTTTCGCTACCTGAAAACTCGCTAACTACGCGACGCCAAATATAATACTAGGTTAATATAATATTAGGTTACGTTCAGCGATACGTAGATCACATTGGCAAATGATGAAGCGAGGAATTCGAAAGATCGACTGCAACTCGCACTACAAAACTAAGAAATGAACATATTACGTCCGATAATATGATGCTAATTTTACGATAATAATATTTTAGTGATTTTATTACAAAATCATTTAAGAGCAAGTTTTCACACACCTACGACCTCTTAGCTTTCATTTAAAGAAAAAATCACGAAATTTGATTGACTATTAAGCTCAAACGATTCTCTTACCGACAACCTTTGAGGGTTTAAAATATATAGAGTTATTTCTTCGCATGTGCAATTCGTATTTTCGGCCAAGTGTTCATCATCAGTACGGACCGGAACGTTGTGTAAGCGTTGGTGGGCCCGTGATGGCGATGGCGGCGGGGGCGGCGGCGACGGCAGGCACTCGGCGCGGCCCTCCACGCGCTGTCGACAGGCCCTCGAGAGCCCTCGACGGGGCGCGCCCCGCGCTGCGCAAACAGCGGGCCGCCGCGCCGGCACTCCCCTGGCGGCGCAGTCACTGCGATACACGTTGCGCGCCGGACTCCTGTAGCTATATTCAAGGAGGCGTGCGCGAACAAGCTGACCGGGAGAGGTGGCTCAGGGCATCAACTGGTGCCACTGCAGTGCCCCTGACCGGGAGGTCCTAGGCTCGAGTTCTGACGATGGCTGCACCTTGTCAGCTACGTCGAGTTCTGCCGCTGTCTGGCGGAGAATTCTAGCGTCGCTGGTGGGAGATACCCTGTTGGGGAAAACCCCGCTAGCCGACGGTAGATCGGCGCAGGATCTCGCCATCCAGCGGAGGAAGATTACCGAGAAAAAACCTGCATTACACGTACTGGACTAACGACCTTAGCAGTCGACGCGCACGGAATCACTAACAATGAATCAATCATCGAACTAACGGAACTTACAGCGATTGTGAATATGTCATCTCCTCATTGTTGCCCTTAATGGAGCCGGTTTTGGGAACGATGCTCCGAGGCAGATTTAAATCCGGCGCATGGTTTGCGAGCAAGCGCGGCTTGACAGTGTATGGTTCACTTTTCTCAGTTGTTTCAGACTTTATTTTTTATTAAATTTCCTATTCTTCGTTTTGTTGTTTTCAGTGCACGAAAGATCTCCCTATTCCGACTTCAGATTTTTTCTCACTTCTCCAAAAGTCTCTAATGCAATTTCACTCAATAAATATTTATCATCTTTCTTCCATTTTGTCTTGTGCTTTTATGCCATATTTACGACATGAATGTGCATAATTATACAACGATATGTCTAGCTTGAAACACCATATCGATCTGAAGAAATGAACGTTTACTCATATTTAATAAAATGACTTTAGCAGAACCTATTGTGTGTTGGTTGCTTCCGGAATTTCTTAACCTTTTCTTATGAGGTCATTTTCATTTGTATTGTTACTGGAATCACAATGAATAGTAAATCATAATTATTGTACCTTGTGTTTTTAAAGAATAAGTTTTTACAAAAAGCACTTCCTTCTTTTCGAAGCAAATTAATGCTAACATTTTCTTCAGTTATTTTATGGCAAAGGGACAGTTACAAATGTCTTTGTTCTTTACGCGAATATCCTTCCTTCTTTTCATAATATTTCCCGTTTTGGAAAAAATACTATTGTGTTTTAGAAACCCCTTTGGGACAGTATGCTATTGTAAATCAAATGTATGGTAATTAACAACTAACAGCCTTTAATGATACAGGGAAACGTTTCAGTTTCCATTTTCAAGGACGTGATATTGCAGGAGACACACGGAAAGAAAATATACATTTTCGGCACTTCAGAGTTAGCCTAAGGTTTACGGCGTAAGGAAATGCAAAACTTCAAATATTACTCCACCACGACCAAGTGATGTAATGCATAATCAGTAAAATACTAAAACATCAAACAGAACAACTTTCTATAGCTAAAGAGGTAGGCTTTACTGAAGGCGACGCTCGAGTTCGTCATGATTTCTGGATTTGAAATTGTGAGGTTTGTAAGGGGTCCACACGTGATCGGATTTCGTAAGGGAATTTCCTGTTCCTTTTTACATCAGACGAAAACATGCCCACAAACATGGCAATAAAACTAAAAAAGAAGTCCGTCCGCTCCTGATTTTATTTAATTAGTTACTACTACTCGACTTCATATGGCTCATTAGTTAGCGGGCTCGCTTTCCATGGCGCAACCACGGGTTCGATTCCCGGCTGTGGAAAAATATAACTGTGCGCTTCTCTAACAAATGTTCCAGTATCTATTATTGTGTGACGATGAGAAAGTCAACCCTAAGGATAAGACCCATGGCCCGTATCGGGCAGACAAGCCAAGAACAGGACTCAGGTTTTTTTTTACTTTAAAGTCAACGGTATCCCATTCTTTGAAGAGTATGTGCGCTAAACTCGGTTACGAATATCTCCGGGCTAACTACGCGTTCTCACTCAGTCAAAAGCGCACATCCGTCAAGAATCATGCGAACAACGCACGGTCAGGAAGATCGGGGTGAACAGTTACACAATCGTCAAGCTGAATACACAAGGCGCGGTAAGCCCAGAGGGGGGAAAACTGGACATGTATGGGCGCCCAGAATATTCGGTGAAACATGTTACGCGCAAACTCGGACGAGTAAAACTGTCACGAATTTCAAATATGGTACTTCGATTAAAACATTAAATTCGTTGGCACAGGACCATCTGTGAAGCTGTCATCCAATCGGAGATATAGTGACCACACTATGGTAATGTTCAAGCTCCCGATTGGATGACAGTGCCACAGCAGATCAAGTATCAACGGACTCAATCGAAATATATGCGATGGCGTATTATTTTTTCAGGATGTCGCGCTTTATATGTCGCGCTTTACATGCCCACTATTTTTTATCTTTAAGTGTCTATACCGCTGAACAGCCGTACTTATGATTTCGTGTCTTGTGTTCCAGAATCGAGCGGCGGTGAACCCCCTAAGCTGAAGTGCAACCTGCGCAAGCACAAGCCCAACCGGAAGCCGCGCACGCCCTTCACCACGCAGCAGCTGCTCTCGCTGGAGAAGAAGTTCCGTGAGAAGCAGTACCTGTCCATCGCGGGAGCGCGCCGAGTTCTCCTCGTCGCTGCACCTCACCGAGACGCAGGTCAAGATCTGGTTCCAGAACCGACGCGCCAAGGCCAAGCGCCTGCAGAGGCCGAGATCGAGAAGCTCAAGATGCGGCGGTGGGGCGGCGCGGCCGCCGCACCTGTACGGCCCGCCGGGCCTGCAGCAGTCTCCACCCGCACCCCGACGCCGCCGCCGCTACCACCACCACGCCGCCGTGTCGGCGCTGCTGGGCCGCCACCACGTGGGGCCGCTGCTGCGCCGCCCGCGCCGCGGCCGCCGCCGCCGCCGCGCTCTGCACCCGCAGGGCGTTGGCGCGCCGCAGTCCGCCGTCCGCGCGACCTGGCTCGCCCGCGCCTGCAGGAATGGGGCTCTCGTAACTGCAGGACTGCACCGCGCCCGGTCAGCGTCGGGGACCGCCACGGCAACCGTGCTGCTGGCCTCGCCGAACTACGAGGCTGTGCTCAGACATGCTGTGTTCGGCGTGTCGTAACTGCAGGACTGTTGTGTCGAATTGACGTATCTGCAGATGGGCTGGACCGCGAGCCTCTCAAAACTGCAAGACTATGCTACGGTCCTACTGTTTTCGACGTGTCGTAACTGTTGGTCTTTGCTGTGCTCTGTGGTTTCCGACATTTAATAACTGAAGGACAATGCTGCCCTCTTCAGTTTCCAACGTGTCACTGCAGGCGAAATACGTTGCGCCCTGCTGTTCCCTGTGTCTTGTCACTAGTACTACGAATATTTCGGCTTTTCGTAACTGGGAGACGACACAGCGCCCGACTTCACTGCGTAAGCTACAGTAATATTCGGAGCAACTGGACGACAACGCTGCTACTCCCAAATAAGAATGTTGAACAGTGTGCGGGAAAAACACTTCGAAGCAGAATTTCTCTGAACTCTATCTCCGATGTACATGTACTGATACATCTTAAATTATTGACATTTATGTACTTTCGGCGAGCAACTGTCAATGTTTCTGGTATTTAAGCTTTCCTCTTAAAAGTTACAAAATTATATTGTTAAAGGACTTACACTTCATTTGTGAAAGTAAATGGAAGTAAGAAGTACAGTTTTGTACATTACTTTTTAGTAAAATACTTTTTTGAATTAATTCTAAAATGTTCATTTTCACAAAATTTATAATTCATCTTTTATTAAATATTTTAATAGTCACACTAGAGGAACTCAACTTAATGTGTACGAACGTAACTACGCTCAACTCTTGCTAAGAAAATAATGTACAAACCTGTGTATCAAACAAAGTTATGCTTCTCTTTCATTCTGCTTTGTTTTTGTCAACGAAATGAAGGAGATGGTCATGCACTGTATTATGTCTTATACTGACAATTGGCACTTTTGATATTCCAAAATCGTCCGTCGCTACCAGATGTTGGATCGCCTTCAGTTTATTGAGTGAATTTATTTATTTCTTATCAGCTAACGAAAACGAAACTATACAACAAAGAAATTAAGGTCATGCTTTTTGTTCTCCTTCTATATTTTACACTTAATGGCATTTCCTAAACGGCTTTATTTCCAAAATATTATAAAAAAATATGTGAATTTGAAGATGTTGACGTTCATTGTCTTTATCAGAAGAAAAACTTCTTAGAAAAATGAACCGCTTCATTCTATCCTAAATGTTTCTCATAGAAGAAGAATGTAAATCTCGTAAGGGATTTAGTAACGTATTTCTTTATAAAATAATTCTGAATGAGAAACCTTCAATCAAAATTACTTTTAGACCACATATTAAATTTTAATTTTGCAAACTGCAAGTTCACTGCAGCTTAATGAATTAACTCCAAGACCGTATGTGTACAGTAACATTTAGCGTACTACTTTCCAAATTCGAAAGGCTGGTCAAATTGAAAATAGTTGAAGTTTGGAATTCAAAATTGCAAATACTCCTGTACTTTAATTTTATTAATTTAAAATATTGGAATGAATATATGCGGGTCTTCACTCTAAGATAGTACAATGCACGTACAGTAAATTTTGTTAATGAAAAAACTGTTTGAATTTGACGCCCCTAGCCAGGAAGAAAATAAATGTTTTTTAGTACTGTGTAATTTGTTACACCAACATCACAACACTAAATCATTAATAAATACGGAGATTATTCCTGAAAGATCATCTCCATTTAATAAAATGTGGCGTAATACTATCTAGAGTGGTTCCCGTTGCATGTACCGCGCCGGTCACTGGACCCGACGTAGAACAGACGTCTATTAGACGGCTTGAGTTTCTTGGAATAAACTGCCAACACGTCAGACACGTTCACACCATTACAGCCACAACAGCCGGCGTTACCAACCGGAGTTTGCAGTTCATACTCAGCCGCCGCCGCCGCCGCGACGCCGTCACCGCGCGGGTGACCGGTCGAACCGACGCCGAACACGCTCCATTCCCGGCGCCTGCATCCACGCCGCTGAGGTGGCGACGGCGGCGAGTGTGAAATCTGCAACGAGCGCTTGTCACATATAAAGTAGGGGTGCGGCATCACCAACAAAACATCGACGTTACCAAACATTGGTTTCAAAGCGAAAATATTGATATCAATAATACATACCCGAAAACAATCTAGATTTTAAAAACTGCTTTAATTACCTCCAACGTAAATTATCGCGTGGGCGAGGTATTTGATGGTGATTATGTTTATTCATTTATAATTAAAAGTCCACTGACAAAACAATAAAAAATCACCGGAAAAATAATAACTTTTTAAATCTAATTAAAGTAAAAGTTTATAGATTGAATGAAATTAAAAAAAAATTATCGGCAGAAACATGTCTAACTTATATTGCATGTTTGGCTACTTTATCCTTAAAAATTTAAATTTATTGACATCTTAAATCAATAATTTTTTCTTATTGTGTAGTTCTTTTCCTTGCTAAAGTAAAATATCTGCAGCGTAAAAATATTGAGCACAAAAAAACCAATGTTTAAAAAACATCGGTTTTAATAAATAGATGTTGCATACAACCGTGTTTTTATAAAACGTCGACGTTTTGAAAAAAATGGGCATCGATGCCACATCCGTAGCGACAAGCGCTCGTGGGGTCTAACCTACGCCTGTCTGAGGTCACTGGCAGCGACGAGACGTTAGTCATCCTTCCCTCTTCAGACCTCCCATCCCCGACGACCTCACCGCTTCCTCCGCCTCCTCTGCCACTTCCGCCACCGTCCCCGCCACCCCACCACCCCCGCCGCCCCTTCGCGGCCCCACGTAGCTGTTTCGTTGGCGGAAGCGGAAATCGGGTCAAAGAGGCGGTGGCGGTGGCGGTTGTGCGGCGCAGGAGTACATACACAAATACCGGAAGCCCACCAAGAGCTTCCTTGCCCCCAGTGCAATTGTATGGAATATTTGTCTCCGTTTAGGGTGGTTATGTATATTTTATTACATGCAAATGAAAAGACTAGGTTTGGTCTGAATGTTGCGTACGACAGCCCACCACGAAAGAACGCGAGGAAAGAAACGTTTACATGATCTCAATTATTTGTACTTAAGCTGAGAGTTGTACTAAAGATATATAATGAATATTTTGACGGCACTACAATTCATTCAGAGTGAGAACTTTAACTACTTAAGTTATGTGCGTGGGCCGTGTGTAAGAGATACAACAAACAATTGTAAAAATGAAATCGTTGAATTTCTTCTTGATGCTTCACTTACCAAAGAAATAAAGTGTTTACATAAGTCGATCTGTATTGTATTGTGAAGGGCGCAGATGTGCGTCATGGAAGTGTTCTGATTTGTGGCTGAAACTTACGATCGCCAAGTGGTTTGCAGTCAGTTCATTGAGTGGAAACAATGCCAGAAATATTGTCAGCGAAATTACTGCTGGAGAGGTGGTACAATTGTACGCTTACTGTATAAACATTGTACCTTCCTTATACGTGAACATTAATAAACGATAAAAATGTGACACGGAGTTTGGAAGGATACAAAGAAAACTGAGTAGAATCGTGATATCTAATCGATCACGTTGTTTTTGTAACAAAGACAATGCAATCGCACTGACATTTCCGAAATCAATGTACAAAGATATTAATGAGCCCCACATTACATGTTCCTGTTACATATGAACATTTTGTTAAGCATTCGTGGTGCTTCGTCGCAGAGACTGCAGCCCTAGACATTAGTGTTGCTGGCAGAGCTTTATCTGCATTTACTTCTCACGATGATGCACAATGAACGTTGTTGCGTGTGATGTGAATTCCTCCTACGAGGGGAAAAAGTACGTTAACTGTGATTCGAAATCCACCACGTCTATTGACAAATCGTAGAGGTGTCCACGAAGGATCAATGTGTACTGGTCATATTTACAGCATTTGTATATAATGTAATATTTAATATTAAATTTATTGTACATACTATGTGAATGAAATGTGTATAAATATGAATTCTAGAGTACAGAAAGCAAAATTAAACGTTTAACGTGATATTTAATCTTTTGTTTCTTCAGCCTTTTCCTCAATGTCCTTGATTCTAAATGAACTTCATGCATTAAAAAAGCATTCATGCACAGCTGAGTAAATTAATATAAACGAAAAAAATGTAGTATATGCAATTACTTGTACAGAATGTGTTGGTTACAACACGATTAAGTGGGAGATCAAAATCTAGCTAGTGAGTTGTATTAGGTCGAAATAAATATATGAGTTTGTTTCTCCAACTCGCGCAAACAATACTCATGCACAAGTTACAAGATCAAATCCTGTCATTGGTCTGCAGGTTCTTGGCATGAGAATACGGAAACAAGTTCAGTTCCATAAATGGTAATCAAATCTAGTAGCTTGAATGCATGTTAAAGTTGCATGAAACTGTCATTCTTATTTAATGCTTACATAATTACTATGGAAAATATTTTGAAATGAGTAAAATTTATTGTTACAAATGCATTTGTTTTAAAATGAATATAATCCGACTCATAACTCATTTAGTTCACATATATTACAAAACTGTACTTTAAACAAGGGGAAGACATGATGTTCAGAGAATGATCAGAATAAGATTTAGAACATTCTAATGATTTTAATAATTCGACATAATCAAATATAGGCTCAAATAATCCTAAGGCTTAAATCTTTTAGCTAAAACTCTCATTTTTTTCCATCTGAGGAAGATAATTATTTTCGCATGAGAAATAATATTTTAATGAACTTGTTAAAGACAATGCAATGAATTTAGGTGTAAATATTTAGTTCTATCTTTTCAGACAAAATAATCTGAAAGAGTTTGATAGACGCTATTGTCACTTTCAGAACATTCTTGTTCTGTAGCACTGTGGGTATAACTCTCTAAAATATTTTCTTCCCCCTACATTTTCATCGTTTTCTGATTATTAAGTTATATTTTTCTAATCATTCTCAAATCCCAACCACTACTATAACTTGACTTACAGATATTGATCAAAAAACTATTCATGAGGTACCAGACTGTTAAATGTGAATAAATGTCGCTAAAATTCCCACAAATAGAACATAAATTAATTTTCTCAATTATATTTTATTTTTACATAACAAGAACAAATAAAAGATACTTGGACGTCACTATAACTGATTTATTTCTCACTGATTATGCTCGAACAATCCAAAGAAACTGCGTTCTACCACACATGTAAATAAATTTAAAAAAATTAATTTTACTCTTTCTTTTTATGTCATATGTGTTTTACTTGATACTATATGCTTAATGTTAAAATATGACTAAATAATAAATTTTCAGAAAGGTAAATTAAAAAAAGTATTATTGCTTTGTAGTAAAGAATAAAAACACTTTCATCAGCAGTTGGGTGATGTTCTTTTCTTTTTAATAAATAGCGTTTGAATTGCCCACATTTTTCTTTGTTGCGTTGGCAGATGCAGTAGATATGATGATAATGACTAAGCGATAGAAATATGCTAATGTAATAAAGAAAAATGTTGTCAATGACGTCTTTTATTCAAGTACTTGGAATTTCAACAATTCATCACCAATAAATCAATTTTTGTAACTGCCCCATGCCAATGTAATTTTTACAACTGCCCACTGCAACGTTCTCCAACTCCTATCATAACTAATGAAAGTCTAGAAGATGCAAAATAACATTTCGCAATAAAATATGTCAAGAATCGAATAATAACCGTTTATTTTTTGGGAGATCGTTACCTCTATAAACTAAATTCTCTTCAAGAGTGATACTGTTTACAACATCACGTCGTCTAGAGGAGTAATCAAGCATTCAGACCAATGAGGTCATAGGTGTTAAATATTGCTCTCATAATATTGCCCATGCATTGAAAATATGAAATAAAGTTTAGAACAATGGACGTCATCGGAGAAATCGGCAGATGTTATGCATGAAATTCCCCACTTTATTCCATCGCTCTGCGTTGCGTGTAGTGAATTGCACACTTGCAAGGCTAGCTAGTTTGCCGCTGAACAAAAAAAGGTAAGTTAGCATCAAGATCTCTGCGGAAGTGAATGGAACAAAAATGAGAATTGCATTCTTTGACATTAACGGATGCCAATTAATGCAACGCTGACACAGCAAGATAGCGATACCACCCGGTCAATTATTTCGCGATTCGCATTAAAATTAATGAAGGTTATTGGACCTAATGAAGACGATGCCGGTGATAATCAGGACGGTCAAGTAAAAATGTCACTTCGGAATGGACGTGTGGGCAAGTAATTGGTCTATCTTAATGACGAGTAGGATAGATTGATCTTTTGATTTCATTAGCTGTATTTTGTAAAGTGAGAACGTGCGTATTTGGTATTAGAGGCACTGGCGAGAGGAATTTCTGCGTGAGTTGCCTTTACGGGCGTGGAATGTCAATTGATTGCTGAGCACAATTTACCGCTATTCTTCGTAATAATGTCTAATTTCTCACATGTTCATTAGTACCTAAATCGCGTCTCGCTATGTTTTTAGGCCAACCGTAGTGCTTGCATTTAAATGATGCTTTGAGTAACACATCAAATTGATCTAAGTAATTAAGTTCAAAAAACCAAAATTATTAGTTGTTTTTAAAGCATTATTTTGTATTAGAACAAGTTTCTTTTATATCGAGAATATCACCTGTAGTTTCAATGTTCTTACTTTCTCAAATAACTGTAAATTTTGTATTAAAATGTGAACGTGTAAGCATGCATTTATTTTGGATATTCACTTTCTTAAACATAATCAACTTCTCTTTTACTTCTTTCCTTTGACTCATTCCTCCTAATATATTATAATTAAGAAATAAGAACCTAGTGACAGTAATTACAAAAAAAAAAAAAAGATTTAATATTTGTCACCTTCAATGAGTGTTATAACTTTTATGAATTAAACTTGCAAATCAGATACTCAAAAATAATATTTCATTTATGTTTGTTTTGAATAAACAGCTACAGAAATAGAGCTAGATTGCCAAAAATTTGTCATAAAACTAGAAAATAATCAATAATAAACTTGACAACATTACAAACAATAATACTCCACATAGATAACAATTTGTATCTTTTTTCATATAAATATTTGAGAAGTAATTATTTTTTCA